CGGTTGTGCTTTACCACCCATATAAGTGTGTGAGTGTGTGTGTGTGTGTGTGTGTGTGTGTGTGTGTGTGTGTGTGTGTGTGTGTGTGTGTGTGTGTGTGTGTGTGTGTGGAGGCTTCACCGGGGTCGTCCAGCGGCCCCTCAGTTATCGTCTCCATCGATGAATGGCGATTGGTTGAGTCGTCAGAGGTGCATCTCTTCAAGATGCACCCAAAATTTGCCAGTGCAGACTACTGATCACATGACCCTGAATGACTAACCATCCTGTGTGATGGAGATTTTTTTTTTTTAGTATCACTGCTACTTTATGCACTCTGATATCTACTCGTATCGTATCTACTGCTGATCACATGTATGACCCTGTATGAAAAGTCCCCATCCTGTGTGATGGGGGACTTTGAGCATCACGTAGCTAGTTTTTTTTGACTCTGTACTGCCCTTCATATAGTCTAGGGCAGCTGCACAAATGCTGGTGCTCATAAACCTGTTAATAATGACAAAATCTGTCTGGCCTCCAATCTCTGAGAGGCAAACAAACTAACGGACAACCAAACACATATCCTGTTTTATTGATATAGATAATAAGCTAAGCCAAATTGTATATTCATAATACTCATTCTGAAATATCATGTTGGCAGGCCTGGGAGGCTATGTTGGCAGGCCTGGGAGGCTATGTTGGCAGGCCCCTGGGAGGCCATGTTGGCAGGCCCCTGGGAGGCCATGTTGGCAGGCCCCTGGGAGGCCATGTTGGCAGGCCTGGGAGGCCATGTTGGCAGGCCTGGGAGACCATGTTGGCAGGCCTGGGAGGCCATGTTGGCACGCCTGGGAGACCAGGTTGGCACCCCTGGGAGGCCATGTTGGCACCCTTGGGAGAAAATGTATGTACTGCCTAATTACCTGTGCACATCAGGTGTTCATTAGCATCACTCTCCAGTTCTACCGTCGCCAGCCGTCCATTCTGCCCCGTCATTCTGCCCCCGTCATTCTGCCCCCGTCATTCTGCCCCCGTCATTCTGCCCCCGTCATTCTGCCCCCGTCATTCTGCCCCCGTCATTCTGCCCCCGTCATTCTGCCCCGTCATTCTGCCCCCGTCATTCTGCCCCCGTCATTCTGCCCCCGTCATTCTGCCCCCGTCATTCTGCCCCCGTCAAGTGACGACCCGCGTCCGCTTATACAACTTCACTAATATAATATTGTCTTGGTCGTTCTTGTAGCTAACAAATAATAATTCATTTTACCGTTGACAGGAAGCCTGTGGTGTACCTTAGGCTTGAATCAAGGTCGTGTCCCATTTGAAGTCGAATTACTGACCCCTCGTCAGGATGTAATCCCATAACGATTGCCTAAGTCCCGGGTACCTATTAATTGCTAGGGGAATATGTGCATTAGGTGAAAGGAAATATACTTAATTATTTCAAATATGTTCTCAGACTAGGCTCGTTGCAGAGGCGACCGACCCTAAGACGCAATCATAAACTTTACCGAATTGTGTATTAAAAATAGTGTTTCTTATGTATATAAATTAGTTTTGTTATGTATTGGATGTCTGTTAACAGTTAGGGATAGGTTAGGCGATAAGTCACAATAACGTGGCTGAAGTATGTTGACCAGATAACACACTAGAAGGTGAAGGGACGACGCCGTTTCGGTCCGTCCTGGACCATTCACAATCGACTTGAAAATGGTCCAGGACGGACCGAAACGTCGTCGTCCCTTCACCTTCTAGTGTGTGGTCTGGTCAACAGGGATAGATTAGGTTAGGTTTGGCATTTAGGTTCTGCAGGTAATTAGTTGCATTTGTAGTAGGTGGGTGACGCATTTGGTCTACATCTCACATTCAATCAAAATCTGAGATATAGTGGTTCATTTGAATTTGGAGTGATCTGTCGTGGATTGGCCCCTTAACAACTCAAGAGGCCTTCAGGGACCCCCTTAACGACTCAAGGGGCCTTCAGGGACCCCCTTAAAAGCTCAAGGGACCTTCAGGGGGCCCCACAAATTGGAGATCGGCTACTGGCGTAGTCCCGCAAACATTACAATAGAAAATGCATATCACACTCCCGCCCTCGGGGCCAAACTACACTAAAACAAAGAAGACACCTAACTCGACCTGTGTGACATTTTCGATGGCGCTCCAAAATGGTTCGGCAAGGGATGGCTGTAACACCAGCCAGGTGTTCCTTGCGACACCTGCGGCAGTGCAGAATTCGTGTCGGACACACACACACACACTTGCGGAGCTCACCATCACGGAGCAGCAGCCGCTGGAGAGACAGTTTCAATAGACAGCTTCGTCTAAATCTCCATCTGCTTCTCAAAAAAGTGAGAAAATAGAGTTCGCCATGCAGAGCAGGACGTGGCATCGATTGATGTTCCAGGCACAGCCCATCCTGCCGCTGCTGAACCTGTGTCTGCGTCTGCTTCTGCTGCTGTCTCTGCTGGGTATCATCTTCCTGCTGCTGCTGCTGGCCAGCAGACCCTCAGGTGCGCACTGCTGTAAGGGTCCGTGGTTGGATAGGGAACAGGAGCTAGTGTGAGGAGGGTAGACACTATATTTCATAGACGGGGCCAATAGCATGCGTGTCTTAAGGGAGAAAACTCATTGAATGAGATCTATTGTAAGGAACGAAAGTATATTGTAAACTAGGTTAACTGTATCAACTATTGTACTACTGTAATACCAGGGTTACTGTAATGGCAGGGATCATTTTTAGGGCTGGGAGTGGGCTTTTTATTAAGGGGTAGAGCGTTTGTTAATGGAGGACTATTGTTAGAAGATAAAAGGGTTGGCCCCTTGTTCGGAGGTATGCCCCGTGCTGGAGGGATTTACACATTGCTAGGGGGCTATATTATTTATTATTCACTTCGTAATTATGCACCCCATACCCATCACTTGGGCGGTGGTGGAAAGGGTTACAGAGGTACATAATGGGTTCGGGGAACTGAACCCCATTGTTCACTTAGCTAAGCAAGTGGCAATCTTGTGAAGTTAGTTATACATTTGTTAATGTTGCATACGGATACGCATGTACATATATATATATATATTTATATATATGCGAAAAAGCCTGAACGATCTCCAAGCATATATGCAACTGAAAACTCACACCCCAGGAGTGACCCGAACCCATACTCTCAGGAGCAACGCAACTGGTATCTACAGGACGCCTTAATCCGCTTGACCATCACGACTGGACATAAGGAAGTGATAGCCGAAGCTATTTGAACCACTTCCCCGCTGGCACTCAGATGGTAATCTTGGGCATAGCATTTTACTTTTACTCCCATACTGGGAGTATGGGTTCGAGTCACTTCTGGGGTGTGAGTTTTCAGTCGCATATAGTCCTGGGGACCATTCAGGCTTGTTCGCATTTGTGTTCCTCATGTGTGCCCCAAAGAATGAGGTGATTTGATAAAATGCTATGCCCAAGAATACCATCCGAGTGCCAGCGGGGAAGTGGTTCAAATAGCTTCGGCTATCACTTCCTTATGTCCGGTCGTGATGGTCAAGCGGATTAAGGCGTCCTGTAGATACCAGTTGCGTTGCTCCTGGGAGTATGGGTTCGAGTCACTTCTGGGGTGTGAGTTTTCAGTCGCATATAGTCCTGGGGACCATTCAGTCGCATATAGTCCTGGGGACCATTCAGGCTTGTTCGCATATATATATATATATATATATATATATATATATATATATATATATATATATATATGATATATATATATATATATATCAATAATCTTTTTATATCACAAGTTATTCAACAAGAGGTCATTCAACAGTCACTATACAAAGAACTTTACATCTATGGTGAGTCAAGTGAACAATGCTTTTAGTTCAAAAGAGGTGAGTGCGGCGTGTACGCAGGACATGGAAGAAAACTTTTGTTAAGGGGAATGACGTGTTAAGACTGGGAATTTTTTTTACTATTCAATTCATACTATTTTTTACTATTTATTATTCATTGGTTCATTTTTGGTCTCCTCTCCTCCAAGAGGAGACCCTGCTCCTCTTGAGCACGGTCTCCTCCCAGAAAGCCTTTGCGGCTTCCAAGCAGAACGCGGAACTGTTGCTATGATATTTGCTGTACGCTAATAGACGGACTGTGGAGGTCCAGAGGAAACGCGCCTTGTGCAAAGCTAGAGCAACCTCGGCCTCTGGAACCTCTGGAGCCGATACATGTGTCCCATGTGTGGGCGAGCCTTCCGGGGCCCAGATTGCTGGCATTAGCCAACATCAAACACAAACACTGATCCGACCACAAGACTTCATGACTTCAACATCCGACCTGATGTTGAAGTCATGGTCATCTTCCATCCCCGAAGGACGGACATCAACGTGGTTCACTTTCCAATACTGTGCTGAACAAAGCCACTTTCGGTGTGTTGCAGCTAATTATTAAGTGTAATAAAGAAAGCTGTAATTATGAGTAATAATTAGCCAGGTGCATTAAAAGCTAAGCCTATTGTGCCTTTCTCTCAGTGAGCTTAATTTAGTTTATTTAATTGATTTTTTAAGCTATGCAATACGGCCTGTATAATATGTGCTTAATATGAGATAAATTTATCATGGCTTTATCTCTGTCTCTCTCTCTCTCTCTCTCTCTCTCTCTCTCTCTCTCTCTCTCTCTCTCTCTCTCTCTCTCTCTCTCTCTCTCTCTCTCTCTCTCTCTCTCTCTCTCTCTCTCTCGGTCTCTCTTCTCTCTCTCTCTCTCTCTCTCTCTCTCTCTCCTCTCTCTCTCTCTCTCTCTCTCTCTCTCTCTCTCTCTCTCTCTCTCTCTCTCTCTCTCTCTCTCATCTCTCCTCTCTCTCTCTCTCTCTCTCTCTCTCTCTCTCTCTCTCTCTCTCTCTCTCTCTCTCTCTCTCTCTCTCTCTCTCTCTCTCTCTCTCTCTCTCTCTCTCTCTCTCTCTCTCTCTCTCTCTCTCTCTCTCTCTCTCTCTCTCTCTCTCTCTCTCTCTCTCTCCACACACACAGACATCTCGCTCCCTGGACATCGCCCCTGGAACCCCTTCTCAGGGAGACGGATGGCCGCTCAACGCACGGGTCACCTCCAGCAGGAAGAGAAGGAAATCCTCCAGAAGGATCCTAACTACCCAAGGACTAGAGACTGGCTGTAAGTATTTGGGCCAAAAAAGGAATATAAATTTAAGAAATATAAGCACTTTTTAGCTAGTCCTCTGCAGTTAGACAGGATTTTTTCTTCAGTTCTATTTTGATAAGTAGGTCCAGTCCCTCAGAGGAGGAGAGAGTTATTAAGCAATCCCAGTTGCCTGTACAGGTAGGAAGAACCTATTAATATCATCACATTGCCATGGAAGGTTGCTGGAAATCTTATTCCAGACAGGAGAGTCCAGATTGAGGTTTAAGAGTCCTCCCTAAGCCACTAAATAAGGCTTGTTTAGTGGTTTAACGACCCAGAGATGCTTCATCTCTGGGTCGTTAAACTTAGCTCGAGAGCTCTCAGAAAGACTTCATTACGGAGCCTTTACTCTCTCTCTCTCCTCTCTCTCTCTCTCTCTCTCTCTCTCTCTCTCTCTCTCTCTCTCTCTCTCTCTCTCTCTCTCTCTCTCTCTCTCTCTCTTCCTTTATCGCTCTCTATCTCTCTCATCTTCCCCCTCCTACCACCACCAGGTACGACCACATCTACTACAGCTTCTACGATGGAACACATGTTTACGACAACCAGGCCTCTGTGAATGGCCAGGTGTCTCGTAGACCCCATCGTGACGAGATACTCATGTTCTCTTTGGTGAGTACGTCGGTTGTCCTCTCTGTCTGTCTCTGTCTGTCTCTGTCTATCTCTCTTTTCACAGCGTTGTAGGTATATCTTGCTGTTCAAGTCTTATATGATTGGATTGTTAAACTTTGAAGTGATCAAGGCATAATTTTGTATGATACAATTAGATTAGAGACATAAAAATATTACCAATATTGTATATTGGGACTACATTACCTGTCATCCATATTTCTGGTTGAGTTCTTCACACACCTCTTTGTCTGAGTTCTGTACCACCTCACCTGTGTGTGTGTGTTTTTTGTGTAAAATACTCTCTGTCATATGCAGGCGTGTGTGTAACGTGGTAAAGTGTGACCAGTAGAAGTGTGTGGGACGTGACGTTCCGGTCCGTGTGGTCTCAAGTCGTGAGTGTCCAGGACGGACCGAAACGTGTCGTGTCACCTTCAAGTGTGTGGTCTGGTCAATCTACTCTCTAATTCTTGCCATCTGTTTCTCCAGGTACTTCATAAAGCACTAATTTACCTCAACTCGAAGTCCCCTGACAGGTACCACCCTCAGCACTGTACCTCCGTCAGGTGAGTTACACGGTACACTAAATGGTACGTTTCTTCTACAACCCGACCATCAGACTCTCCCTATTCTGTTGATACTATGCTAAAACTTCTCCATACTATACTACGTCCACCAGACGTAATATAGTATCCTCCTCTACCTGTTCTCTGTTCAGTTATCTTGAGATCTTCTTGAGGTTATCTTGAGATGATTTCGGGGCTTTAGTGCCCCCGCGGCCCGGTCCTCGACCAGGCCTCCACCCCCAGGAAGCAGCCCGTGACAGCTGACTAACTCCCAGGTACCTATTTACTGCTAGGTAACAGGGGGCATTCAGGGTGAAAGAAACTTTGCCCATTTGTTTCTGCCTCGTGCGGGAATCGAACCCGCGCCACAGAATTACGAGTCCTGCGCGCTATCCACCAGGCTACCAGGCCACTCGTAGCTCTACCACTCTTAACTCTACCTATTTTGCATTATGTCCATCGGACTCTTAACAGTATATATATCCCATCTACTGCATTAAATTTGGTCTGCCTAGTAGATAGGACGGTGATTTACCATATATAATTATATTCTAAATATGAAATCCGAAGATATAATTACGAACCTGGTGATTGATTAGGACGAACTGAGCTCACCAGGAACTGAACACATTAGTATTCTTGGGGTTTGATGACTTCTCTCATGACGAGCCATTACCACGATGTTCTGGGAATGAGAATATGTAAAGAACTATTTAAAGAACTTGGTAGTACAAGAACAGGTACATGTGAACTAGGCACAGCTCAAGGTAGTGTAATTAAGTCCTGTGATCTTTAACATTCTTACACGCAAACTTTTTCATGAACCAACACGAAGTGATTTATGTTATATATAACATATAACAAGTGAGTTATATGTTATATAACATATAACAAGTGAGTTATATGTTATATATAACATATAACAAGTGAGTTATATGTTATATAACATATAACAAGTGAGTTATATGTTATATATAACATATAACAAGTGAGTTATATGTTATATAACTCACGTTATATGTTATGCTGGTGGTATTTGTATTTTGGCACACAGTAAAACCAGACTACAAGCATTTACTTGATGAATTTTCTAAGACAATGGTAGAATGGGGCTTCATTAGCTCTGTTGATAAAACAAGGGTTCATGTCCCCCCATTCTCTTCACCATGATAACTGTAATATTAATGGAGTGTCCAAAGAGACGTGCGAGTCTTATAAATATCTTGGAATCGAGGTCAATGATGCAAATCTCATCTTCGCAAAAATGCTTCTTGAGTGCCTTTAAACCTCTCAAAACTCTTGTGGGTTAAAGCATTTGGCATTAACATAATATGTGCTCGAAGCTTTTATTTAACCTTCATACGATCTGTAGTTAATTATCATGTCTCGTTAATCATCCTAGGTCATTACTTGACCAGGATTTATGTAACAAGATGCCATGAGTATCATGGTAGGTTATCCTGGAGCTCTTAGAATTGTTAACTCGAGAAAGGAGCCAATTGTAAGTTCTTCTTATGAGAGAACAGTCCTACTCGATAACGTGTGTTCTGCCAAGATTATACAAATAATGATGTAGCACTGTTAAAGCGAGATCCATTCTAAACAAGTCTTGTTCCCGTATTTCTTCACAAAAAAAAACTTCACTCTGTGTCTGTCAGTAGTCGAGGACCGGGCCGCAGGGACGCTAAACCCCGATATCATCTCAAGATCTCTGTGTCTGTCTATGTCTTCTCTGTCAATCTCTCTCTGTGTGTTGTGCGTCTTTGTTGTTATGTCTATCTCTGTATCTAAGTCGGTTTCTGTCCATCTATGTTTATCTCTCAGTCTCTCCCTGTCTGTCTGTCTCTGTCTGCCTGTCTCTGAATGTTTCTCTGACTGTTAGTTTGTCCCTGTCAATCTGTACAGGTTGTATGGTCGACACGTGGGCTGTGTGGGTAACCTGGGCACCGTAGATCTGTTTTTTCTGTCTATTTGTATCTGTTTCTATGTATGTCTATCTATGCTCGACTTCCAACCTTTTTTGTACAGTCAGTATGGTCTAGTTGGTATTATTACTGGATACGCTGGGGTTTGTGGAGCTCTGGGCTGTATATATATATATATATATATATATATATATATATATATATATATATATATATATATATATATATTTTGTGTGTGTGTGTGTGTATAATTTATATCTACGAAAATAAAGCAACCCGTGATTAAGAATGAGGACAATGTCAGACCACGGAGGAAAAATGAAACAGGAATTTCCTTAAGTACCTTTCCTATACCTAAATACTATCTTCAGGAAGGTTTTGGTATACGAAAGTAGGTTAAGGTTAGGTAAATTCCTGTTTCATTTTTCCTCCGTGGCTTCTAGACATTGTCATATATATATATATATATATATATATATATATTATATATATATATATATATATATATATATATATATATATATATATATATATATATATATATATATATATATATATACTATAAACATAAATTTATAATAAATATATCTAAAACAAAGTCATGTTCATAACATAATATGAAATGTCTGTAGGAATAAACAATAATAATATAATGGGAAGCGAGTACCACCTCTGGCTGGAAGAAAGGGTCCCTTAGCCTCGGAGAAAAGGACACATAATGCATTAGAGGGAATGTTTAGGATCTCCCCCAATACAGTTTATATATGTCCTTTTATCTTGTAGTTCTAAACTGCTTACTCAAGAATTATATTTAGATTTAGAAGTTAACCAAATTCACCAGTGGTTATATATGGGGGACTCATCAGAGCTGTTTGATGCGTCGAAGCTAATATACAGGTTAATGAGAGTTGGTTGGTCTCCTGAGTGTGTTCAGTTGGGTGATATAGGTTGATTATCCACCTTCATCTTCCTGTTGGCTGGGTTGGTTAACACCGCCAGATACCGGACAGTGCCGACGGTGGGTCTGGAGTTCGACGTGATCTGTCGAACTCCCGAAGGAGCTGCGGAGAGAGTCACCCTCCTACACGAGTTCTCGCCGCTCCGCCTCGCCTTCCGTCACACCTTCACCAACGTCACCGTCAATCTTATCATGCCTCTGCGAGGTCGCCTCCAAGCTCTCCAGGTGTGTCCATGCGTGACCCCCTGACCCCATGTGTGACACCCCTGACCACATGTGTGACCCCCTGACCCCATGCGTGACCCCCTGACCCCATGTGTAACACCCCTGACCACATGTGTGGTCAGGGGTGTCACACATGGGGTCAGGAAAGTCACATGGGGTCAGGAAAGTCATATGGGGTCAGGGAAGTCACATGGGGTCAGGGAAGTCACATGGGGTCAGGGAAGTCACATGGGGTCAGGGAAGTCACATGGGGTCAGGGAAGTCACATGGGGTCAGGGAAGTCACATGGGGTCAGGGAAGTCACATGGGGTCAGGGAAGTCATGGGGGTCCCTTGAAACCAATTTATACCCCGAACCTAATATCTGACTTTGACCTCATATCTGACACAGTTCACAACAATTATCACAAATGAGGATTTCATTAACTAATTGAGACTCAAGGACTTGATGAATACTGAAATATTATACTTTTTTAGTTTGCAATTGCTAAGTGATTAGCTCCCTCATTAAGCTGTCTGTTTTTCTTCCCTTTCTCATCATTTCATCTTTCCCTCTCCCTTTTTCTTACGTATCCCCCTCGCCTCTATTTCATCCTCTTCTCATTCTTTCTCTGACCGTTTCTCTGACTCTCTCCCTCCTTATCTCATCTTTTCTCTCTCTTGTTCTCCTGTTCCTCCAGATCTTCCTGGAGAACGTGAAGGACGTGCTAACGGACAACGCCGTCGAGCTGGGCCTCACTCTTGTTTACTTCGATGACCCGGAGAGCCAGCGTGTCCGGGAGGTCCTCCAGGAGGCGGAGAACCAGCTTCCAAACCTGCAGACAGAGTTCATCCTTCTGGAGAAGAAGTTAGGCTTCTCCCGAGGACACGGGCTCCAGGAGGGCGTGGAGAAATCCAAATTGAAAGGAGAGGTTGTTTTCTTCTGCGACGTCGACGTCCTCTTCACCAGAGAGTTCCTGACAAGGTGTCAGACTACCCCAATTCGCGGGCTGCAGGTTTGTGCTTGAAGTGTTCGAGTTTCGCCAGAGGTTTCGAAGCACTGATGACCGATAGATGACTGAGACCACACACTAGAATGTGAAAGGACGACGACGTTTCGATCCGTCCTGGACCATTCTCAAGTCGATTGTGAATCACAATCGACTTGAGAATGGTCCAGGACGGACCGAAACGCCGTCGTCCCTTCACCTTCTAGTGTGTGGTCTTGTCATCATACCTTAGCCACGTTATTGTGACTCATCGCCTGCATGACCGATAGATATACAATGTATAAGTCATATTGATTAATTGATGAAGATTATGCCACCCAAAAGGTGGAATGGTCATGAAAAGCCCGTAAACACAAGTCATATACTGACTTATCAATATATATATCAGCATGTGACTTATAGTGCACTTATTTCACAACGCAGTGAGCTAAAGCAGCATCTTCACCCGACCAGGTGTTCTCCCCCGTCGTGTTCTCCCAGTACAACCCCCACCTGCACCCACCTCGGCTACAGCGGCGGATCAAGGATGACCCTCAGCTGCAAAGGCAGGTCAAGGACGACCTTGGCTACTGGCGTCTATGGGGTCACGGTGAGAGACGAAGAGTTTAAGAAGAGACAGAAGACACGAGAAGGAAATAGAAGTGGGAGATGGAGGAAGAGTGGGGGGAAGGGGTTAGGGGGAAAGACCTGAAACACTCCGATATATTGATGTTGTGTAAGCCACTGAAGGTTAATGTCTTGAATGGGTAGGTGCCTGTCTGGAGTGTTGCCGCCTAGTCTCATTGCCTTAGACTTCTGTGCAGATATTTTTAGCCCCAAAAAAGCTGCATTCAGATGTTACTGCATCTAACGCCCCTTGTGCTTTATTTAATAGTGAAAGATCTGTGGCGACTAATGCTATATCATCAGCATAGCTAAGCAATTTAACTCCTTTGGCAAATGTCATAGTAACGAGGTTTTCCATAAGGATGTTAAAAAGACTAGGACTGAGGACTCCTCCTTGTGGAGTCTCATTCTCATGCAAGTGGTAGTCCCACACACGTCCAAGTTATCTGACAAGTTGCCAGAAGATATCTCTTAATGAGATAAGGCTCTGTATTTTGATGATAATACAGCAGCTTTTCTGCATAAATTGGATACAGACTATGGCACTGATCTTGGATTAAGATGATGGTGTGGTGGAAGCGTGGCGAGTCCCTTAGTACATGAACTCGTCCTCACTACTCCTGGTATGTGTTATTGTGATTTTCTTGATTAGAGTATAGTTCAGGCACTCCCCGAGTATCTAGGGATACTCGCTGGTGATATAAGATTAGTTTGTGCGACGTAGGTCCCGTTATAAAGGTCCCAAGCTCCGCACGCACATGTAATCACTGTTTGTAAACATTGGGATCTGGCCTCAGGCTACACGTGTATTCAGTTTGTAAACATTGGGATTTGACCTCAGGCTACACGTGTATTCACTGTTTGTAAACATTGGGATTTGACCTCAGGCTACACGTGTATTCACTGTTTGTAAACAATGGGATCTGGCCTCAGGCTACACGTGCATTCACTGTTTGTAAACAATGGGATCTGGCCTCAGGCTACACGTGTATTCACTGTTTGTAAACAATGGGATCTGGCCTCAGGCTACACGTGTATTCACTGTTTGTAAACAATGGGATCTGGCCTCAGGCTACACGTGTATTCACTGTTTGTAAACAATGGGATCTGGCCTCAGGCTACACGTGTATTCACTGTTTGTAAACAATGGGATCTGGCCTCAGGCTACACGTATATTCACTGTTTGTAAACAATGGGATCTGGCCTCAGGCTACACGTGTATTCACTGTTTGTAAACAATGGGATCTGGCCTCACGTGGTAGTGGACGCTTGCTGTCCCACCCCACCGGCCCCATCCTCTCTCAACGAGGGTTATCTTGAGGTTATCTTGAGGTGATTTCGGGGATTAACGTCCCCACGGCCCGGTCCTCGACCAGGCTTCCTTTTTGTTACACACATCCCCAGGAAGCAGCCCGTAGCAGCGGTCTAACTCCCAGGTACCTATTTACTGCCAGGGTAGCCTTCAATGAGTATTGATTATTGTTATTTTCTGGATAGATTAGGGTGATAAAGTTGGATTATAAGATAAATAGATATAGGATTTTATGATTATAGGTAGTATTAAGAGTATAATTATTCTTATTAAGGATTTGAATTAATCCTCACCAAAAATCGATTGATGTTCCAACATTATTTTAATTAATAGCTTTTTCTTGAAGCTTCTAGATCCATTAGGATTACGTGTACAAAGTCATGTAGGCACCTGTGTTCTATGGTGTATGTGACCAAGTGGTCGTCTAGGATCTAGTCGATGTATAAGATAATGAATCTGGTGTATAACATAGATAAGATATATAAATAATATATTTCGTAAATAATAATATTGATATAATGGGTAAAATTTCCCACATCTTCCTGAGTGAGAGAACTGGCATAGAGTCCAATATTTGGGATCTACATTGACCATATGTGTTCATTTACTCATCATCGGATTGATAATACAAGCGCAAATTTTGTTTGCACTTTTGTGCGGGTGTCCGTTGAGGACGTATGTGCCTGTTTGGTGTCTGTGGGTCATTTGGAGTTCGAGATTCTAGGGGTCTTCCTGGGTCTAACTGACTCACTGACTCCATATGGATGAGTTTGACTAATGTCTTCAAGAAAGTAGTTCCTTTAGACAGGATTTTGACTATTCTCAAAATCTCCTGGCTATCTGGATGGACAGAGGTGACTTTACCCAATGGCCATTCAACTTTAGCAGTGTCCCATCTTACCAAGAGAATGTTACCAGGTTGGAGATTAGATACACTATGAGGGATATTGGCTCCACAGTGATATTCTCGTAGAGATGTGAGATATTCTTTTGTCCAAACATCATTCCATTTTTGGATTGTGCTGGATAGATACTTATACCCCTGAACCAACTCGCTCTGACCCACATATGAGGGATCTCTGATCTTATCATCCATTAGAGATGGTACTGGAGTCAGAGATCTGCCATACATTAAGTGGGCAGGACTTAATGGTTCATGTTGAGTAGGAGCATCAGACCAGTTCGTCAGTGGCCGATTGTTCACTCCGGACTCTATTTCCGTGACGTCTTGAGTTCTTGAAGAGGATTTTTTGACGGTGTAGAGATTTTCTCAACGATCTTTTGATAGTTCCTATTAACCTTTCATAAAAGGCGTCGTGCCATGGGGCTCTAGGAGGGATAAATTTCCATCTGCAGTGACGCTATTCCAGTGTGGAAGAAACTGCAGGATGGAAGCAGATTTCCCGTAGACATGCTTCTCCAGCTACCAAGTTAGCTCCATTATCTGAAATCATCAGCTTATGACATGATCGGCGTACTGCAAATCTGCGGAAAGCCTGGATAAGTGATTGAGCAGTCATATTGGATGTTACCTCTAGCTGTACTGAAAGTCATACACATCTGATTGCTAGGCACACCTCATTTGCATCATACATACCTAGTTTTCATACACCTGGCTGACATACACATCTGACTGTACCATAAATTTGATCTAAACACAAACAAAACTTTTCTCTGCTCCAGGTATGGCATGCCTATTCAAGTCGGACTTTTACGAACTGGCAACCTTTTCAAAAACTTCTGGCTGGGGAGGCGAAGACTTAAACTTTCTGAAGAATGTTGTAAACCATGGTGGTTACAAAGTGATCAGGTGAGCTATGGCTGCTTGTGATATGTAGCATCTTGATATTGCACGACTCTGCAACTTTCCCTTAACTCATTCCCCCAGACCCCCTCTCTCTTTCACCTCACCTCTCTCTCTCTCTCTCACCTCCCCTCACCATCCCCTACTAACCATGAAATAAGTGTCCAAATCATATGATGGGATCGAACCCTCGTCCCTAAGCTACTCAGGCACAAGCACTACCGACTGGACCACCACATGTACCCACAGATTTATCTCACTCCTTCCCACAGGTCTCTTGATCCAGGACTCTTCCATCTCTATCATGCCAAGAGCTGCGACAAAGCCAAAAACCGCTTCACCTGTTCAATGGTAAGTTATCGTAGTTGATATACTGTAGATGAGGCATCGTAATTCATGAAGTGTACTTGAGGTATCGTAGTTCGTGTATTATACTTAAGGGAATCGTGGCTAAATAAGCTATCTCAGTTTATGCACTGTAATAAGTTATTATGGTTGAAATATCAAAGTTGAAGAGATGCAGTTGAGGTATCGTAACTGAGAAAACTTCTATAGGTATCGCAACTGGAGGTATAATAGTTCAGGAATCTTTGTCACAGTACCCTACACGTGGTATCGTGATAAATATACCGTAGTCTAGGTAATTTGGTTCGTGTGCTGTATTTAAGGATCGTAGATTGGGTACCATAGGTACGTGACATCCGTAGTGTTGGTTCCACAAAGTAGTTAAGAATCGTAGTTTGTGTATCGAGGAACGTAGCGTGGGTATCGAGGATAGTTGTTTTATATTTAATACAGTGTGGAAAAATTCATTACGTTTCTGCATGCCCCAGTTGGGTTAATAACCCCCCCAAGTGCTTTAAAATCAACTTCATTTAACATAACAATAGGTGAAGTGGGAAGTCACGGCAGTGGGCCTCTTGACCCATTCTGGGCAGTGCCCATCTAACTCCTTTTCACTGTCTACCTATAAAGCTTATTTTTAAAGCTAGCTATATCTTTTGGCATAATGGTATTCCCCCTACTACCTATTCCACTCGTCTAGCTTTCTAATATTACACCATGTCTTGATGCTATAATTACTAACGGACAAAATACGCTGTTCTGTGCTAAACTATGATGGGTTGCATCGGGGGATCACAGTCGCCTCTGGGATATGGTGGAGGATGGAGGCCAAGGAATATCTTGCTGACTACGAACGTCCACTGAAAAATAAAGAAAAGGGCGGTCGTAGTCATACTAACACCTTCCAGCGGACGACGCGCCTGGTAGTTCCTATTTTCTGAAGAACCTTTATCCCAAAAGTCAGCTCCAGTTTATAAAAAAAATCGTCACTTTTTCCCAATATTGGGACAGTCGTAGCAGGAGGTTGTTTTAGCTTCCTTGGTTGTAGCGTCCCTGTAGGTGGTTGTGGGTGGGGAGGGTCCTCTGGCTGGGGAGGTTGCTGGTATTCAAGACAGTCATGAGAGAGGGGTCTTGGCCTGAATATATATGTGTACTTGATGTGATGTCTTGTGAAGTTGCTTAGAATCTTTTGTGCTCACTTTGTTGTGCTTGTGAGGAATGAGCACGTCTCTTGGGTCCTGCCTCTCTGTCCTTAATCGAGCGGTGTACAGGTGCCAGAGCCAATTGGGCTCTTCTCATGACCACATTTATAACTTTACGTGGAATTTGCCTCACCATTTCCCTTTTAACTCATTCTATTTGTTCACCATAAACACTGTAGCTCATCTGGATATTCAGTTTGTGTGTCCCTTTACTCGTGTACTTCAAATGCTCATTTGAAGTACACGAAGTACTTATTTACTCGTCTGTTTTCTTCTGCCCTGTCTATTCTGCTGAGTATTTTGTACTCAGTGATCATGTCTGCCCTATTTCTTCTCTCTTCCACTGAGGTGAAACTCCAAGTCTTTGTAATTCATACCTCTCAGCTCTGGGACCAGTCTGGTGCCATACGTCTAAACTTTCTCCAGCTTAGTTTTGTGTTTAACGAGATAATAACGTCACCCTGGTGCCCCGTATTCCAGAATTGGTCTGACGTATGTGGTATACAAGATCCTGTACGACTCTGTTCACATTTGTAAAGGCAGCTTTATATATAAACCAAGCTTCAGAATGCGGCTTATAGGCGCTTCCTGTGGCAGGTTTGGTGTAATATCAACTAAGAAACCTTTTTCTCTGTTCGATTCTTCTATGCGAAACATTGTACTCAACCTCCGTATCATAGCACCGACCTTTATTACTGTGCATTTGCTTGTGTTAAACTCTTGTAGCCACTTGCTGGAAAAAAAATTTGGTCCAGGTCATCCTATAGTCTTTTGCAGTCTCTCGTGGTGTTGTCATCTTATAATTATATAATGAGCTTATATAATTATATAAGCTTCGTTTTTATTATATTAATGACTTCCTCTTCACGTTTAAAGGAGATTGATACGTGACTAGTTTATCCCTCCCTTCACTACACATACGTACATTGTGTGGATTGACAGTTGAGAGGCGAGACCAAAGAGCCAAAGCTCAACTAGATGAGTACACAAGCACACATAAAGAGTACTGGGAAGACTGGACACCACGAGCATAGCTCTTATCGTGTAACTACACTTAGGTAACTACACTTAGGTAATTACACTTAGGTAATTACACAAACCCCAACCTCCTCCTCCTCCCTTCACCCTGAACTCTTATTTTTCACTCCAACCCTCCTCCTTCTTCACCCCTCCTGCCCCCAACGTCGTCTAAGGTCCAACTCAAGGCAAACGGGGAAGGCACTCTCTCCTGAAGCTCGTCCAAGGGTTAACGATACAACGGTACAACGGTGCACTCAGCGTTCCCCATCTTTGTTCTCTTCAACGGGAAGTTACAGGGAAACATTTCCTGTAACTTCCAAAAATTCCTGTAGAATTTTTGTTTCTGTATCTGTACTGTTCACAGGTCTGTACCTCTACAAGATTTATCCGGATTTTCTAGGATTTATTACTAGGATTTTTTCTATAATTGTTGTTTATATCTTACTGAGTTGGTTTCAATAAACAGAAACTTGGGATTTAATTATTTTGATTGTCTATTGTTTCTTGGATCAGTTTCTACTAATCATGGTTAATTGTGTCGGTTTCTGCTCCTAACTTTGGTTACGGGAGCGGTTGTGCAATGGTTTATTGAGAGGGTTTATTTGGATTTTTTTTATATAATTTTTGTATGAGTCTCCTTATGTTATTCATGCAGTAGGTTATGTCTCTTTGACTACCTTTATTAGAGAAGAAACGAGAAGGGAGAAGAGACAGAGCGAAACTCTGCCTCTTCCCCCTTTCTCATTTTATACCTCCTTCTCTTTTTCTCTCTTATTTCTCCTCGTTATTCGTCACTCAATCTTCTCCTCGTTTTCCTTCCTTATTATTTACCTCTCTTTCTCATTCTTCCTCTTCCTTTTAACTCATTTTCGTTGTTCCTCTTCTTCGTTCTTCCTATTCCTCGTTCTATCTCCTGGTTTTCCCCTCCCCTGTCCATCTGTTCCGTCACTCCCAGGTACGCGCCGCCAGCGAGGCCTCCAAAACATCCCTGGGTCTCTGGTATTTCAAGCATACGGACAAGGACGCCTCCGTTTTCGACGTCATGACCGCGGCAATCCCTCCACTTCGTCACGATGAAGGGGGCCTGGACGCCTACTACGAAGCCGAAGCCAGAGGTGGACAGGAGGAGGAGGAGGAGCAGGTCGAGTCATGCAGGTCATTCGGAATCCTACCGGCCATGGCTTTGTTTATCTTCGTTGTCTGTGATATGATTCTCATTGTTTGTAGATATAGGAAAGAGAGAAATGTGTACAAAATTGACTTAAAAAATGCAGTACATTAATTACATAATTCCTGCATAGCATGTAGACATTATCAAGTTCAAGTAAGTTTATTGAGGTAATGAAATACATCTCAGAAATTAACTCATCTGATAGAGTAGATGTAGCTTAGGCTATAGAGTAGCTTAGGCTATTTCTGCCCTGGTAGTCATTGTTATTATAAGCCTCAGAAACTTGATTGGTAACAACTTCTATAAATCATTACGATACTGACTGAACTAAACAGGTCTGTATTAGTCTAAATCACACTGTTTAGGTATGAAGTGAGTGACATTTAGCTAACACTGTGAAAGATGATATATTGTCAAGTGAGACATAATATTAGAGCGATAAGACATATGTTGGCACAGTTTATGTCACAAAATGAGGATGATGAGACAATTAGAATTAATATAAACTCATCATAACATGACCTCATATATAGATATTTGCACATCCTCAACGCTCTGGCAATTCTTCACTTATATGTCAAGTCTTCATTTACATTTATTTATTTTTGTGTTAAAAGAATGAAATAAAAATATTATTATGATTTTTCTTATCATTTCCACTTTATTTAACCAGTAATATTAATTGTGGGTATTTGTTATAAGAATGAGATTGCATGTATAAAGCTACCCCCCCCCCCTGTAACTTGGAACCACTTAGACCGATAACCACTTTAACTTGGAACCACTTAGACCGATAACCACTTTAACTTGAAACCACTTAGACTGATAACCACTTTAACTTGAAACCACTTAGACTGATAACCACTTTAACTTGAAACCACTTAGACTGATAACCACTTTAACTTGAAACCACTTAGACTGATAACCATTTTATTTACTAACTATGATGCCACCACCCTACCAAAAAAGTGGGTATAGCCCCCCCCCCCATAACTCAATTGTGGAATTAGTCCACATTATTATCATATATTTGCCAGCTGGTATATCCTGATTTTCATGCTCATTAACACCTGTCTACATCTGAGGCTCGCATTTACCTCATATAGTGAATTGATTTGATGAAAGTTATCTGTGATCTCTGGCCACGGCGAGTGCTGTCGGGTGTTGGGTTAAATAGCCTCCAACTACCAATACTTTTGAACAGTCAGTCGTGGTCCATTGGTCATGGTACTCGACATATGCTAGTGTGTTTGTAGTTCCTGACTGTCTAAGGTTTGAGCCCTTCATGTTGATGAATTTTCCGATACATTTGACAAGGTTTATTCACGTTTGTCATATATATATATATAATATATATATATATATATATATATATATATAGATATATATATATATATATATATATATATATATATATATATATATACACACACACACAATCTGAGAGGCGTGTGCGTCACTGTCTTACATACAGGGATATTTTTTTTAGTAGTACTGGCGCCAAAAGGCCAAGTTGGAGGTTACTCGAGGCTACTGATCTCTTTAGTGTCATTTTTATTACTATGATGAAGCGACGAGTGGCTGGGCTTTGATCTACGAGGCGAGGCAGGTTGGGTTTTGCTTGACTGAGCCTATGGATCCTCGTTTGGGTTGAGGGGGTATACGAAAGGTTCTTTTTTTATTGACGTAGTGGAGGGAGGATGTGAAGTGGTTGGTGATGTGATGGCTGGTGGTTTTTTGGTTGAGTGATGGGAGATCGTGGTTTGGTTGAGTGTGTGTGATGTGGTAACCATGTGGGTAAGTGTTTTGCAAGCGACGTGGATTCAACATTACTTGTACATGAAGTCCCCCTCCTGGGATTATTCTACATCTTTTTCTTGCTAAAGTTTAACCTTATTTGGATGTTTCGTATAGATTTGTTTCACCAGGGCTGTTGACTTACCGACTATAGGGGGGGGGGGGGGGTAGAAATAGCATAGGCTATTTCTAGAGGGGTAGAAATAGCCTAAGCTACTCTATCCCTTTCAGATGTATTTTTTTTCTTGTCTCAATAAACATACTTGAACTTGAATTACCGACAACAGCATGAGAGTGTTCAAAGTTTACTCTCCCGATCAAAAGAATATACAAAAATCGATCAAAATAGGGTCTTGAAAATATTAAATACAGGGAAACCATAAAATTGAATATAAATAAAAAAAGCAGGTTTTCTCTAATACACAATTGTAAAAGCACGAATTAAAAGTGTCTAAACTGCATCGTGACAGCAAATGTCACTCATAATTTTCACAAAATTAGACTGACAGATACGTGAGTGACCGTGAACGCAAATTGGAAAAAGCTTTGCAGGAATTAATTTCGTAATTGTCGTAATTTCGTGTTACTGCAGTGTGTTGTGTTGTGTTGTTCGCCTCTTGTGTAAGGCAAGATGATTATCATTAAAAAAAAAGGGGTAGTGGCATTGAGGAACCAGACTGGCAGTGAAGGCCCGCTGGGAGATGAGGAAGGGGATGCTGGAGTGATGATTATCAGCTTCCCCAGCATCACCATCACAGGAGGAGGGAGGATCATCATCATCATCAACAAAACTAGTGAATAGTTTGATTGCTGCTAGAGAAAGATAATATTATTGATCCAGGTCATTCCTGTAATTATCCTGAAGCATCAGTAAGTACATCAGTCAAACCATATTAATCACTCTTCATAAATGGTGGTACATTTATAATTGGGGAAAGTTTTCATCAAAATTGATTACATTAATTACAGTACATTTATTATATAAGTGAGTGGCAATAACATCATAACATAATTGTTGTCGTAATTTCACTAACGCAGTACATTAGCTTCAGGATGTGTTTAAACCAATAATGGTTTACATTCAATAAACATTCCTGATGCCAATAGGTGATGCCTATTCTCGTACCCCCCCCCCACAGGTATAAGTATATCTCTCCCACAGGTATAAGTATATCTCTCCCACAGGTATAAGTATATCTCTCCCCAGGTATAAGTATATCTCTCCCACAGACTAAACACAAAACAGACACAAGCTTAAGGGCAAGAACCTGGACTTTGCACAAGTATCACTGAACATCGACACCTTACATGACACCTTGGTAACCCAAGACTGGAAACTCGGTACTCGGAAACCCAGATTTATAGGTACTACGATGACCGGGATGTTCGTCACCCGTAAGTCACTACTTACGATATATGAAATATAGTTCTCGTCATTGTCCTCTGTGGCCTCTACAGTCCCTCTCCCTCCCTTACATTCACCCCTTCACCACCACCACCCCTCAATATCTCCCTTCCCTCTCGACTCCTCCTCCCCTTCCCCTTCCTTACCTTACCTTCCTACCCTTTTCCTCTCAGCAACAAGCTGCCTGGCTGTGGGGGTTCCCTTACTGCATGGTGTAACCTTCCTAACTACTTACCCATCACAGGCTATGAGGAAGTGTAGTGTAGCTGTTTGTAATGCTTCCTACCCCTTGTTAAGCCTCTTGTTAGAGGTGGGGAGGGGGTAGTGTTGGGGAGAGTGTAGTGTTGGGGAGAGTGTAGTGTTGGGGAGAGTGTAGTGTTGGGGAGAGTGTAGTGTTGGGGAGAGTGTAGTGTTGGGGAGGGTGTAGTGTTGGGGAGAGTGTAGTGTTGGGGAGAGTGTAGTGTTGGGGAGGGTGTAGTGTTGGGGAGAGTGTAGTGTTGGGGAGAGTGTATGTTTTGGGGGGGTGTAGTGTTGGGGAGGGTGTAGTGTTGGGGAGAGTGTAGTGTTGGGGAGGGGGTAGTGAGTTGGGGAGGGTGTAGTTGTGGTGAGAGTGTAGTGTTGGGGAGAGTGTAGTGTTGGGGAGAGTGTAGTGTGGGGGAGAGTGTAGTGTTGGGGAGAGTGTAGGTGTTGGGGAGGGGTGTAGTGTTGGGGAGAGTGTAGTGTTGAGGGAGAGTGTAGTGTTGGGGAGGGTGTAGTGTTGGGGAGGGTGTAGTGTTGGGGAGAGTGTAGTGTTGGGGAGAGTGTAGTGTTGGGGAGAGTGTAGTGTTGGGGAGAAAGTAGTGTTTACCTACAAGTTCCAGCTCATTCACTACGGAAAAAATGAAATATAAAACAACAGACAACCCCGTACAAAACGCAGTAAAATCATAACTTAGAACGAAAAAGCCATGTAAGGGATTTGGGTGTACTCATGTCGGAAGATACTTAACTTTAAAGCACAAAGTAGAAGTAGCCGTCACACACTGCACAAGAAAAAATGACAGGTTGGATAACAAGAACTTTTCACACTAGAGATGCTATGTACCGATTGATGATACTTTCACAAAACGCTTGTGATTCTCTAGAGTGGAGTAGCTGCTGCAACAATGATACAGCCCCTTTCAAAGCTGGAGAAAATTGCTGACCTGGAGAGGAGCTTTGGGCAGGAGATCAGTGATAGAGATGCGGGGAGGTTTGGTCCCATTCCACTCTGAGTACAGGTTGAGAGATGCTGGAACTGTGTGGGACAGTCGTGGCGATGCTGGAAGGTGTGGTTACCAGGGTGTTGGAGATGCTGGAAGGTTTGGTGGGTACAGTGTTGGAAATGCTGGAAAGGTGTGGGTACAGTGTTGAGGATGGATGATTGGTGATGTGTTGGGTACAGTGTTGGAGATGCTGGGAAGTGTGGTACAGTGTTGTAGATGCGGTGCATGTGGGGGGTTGTGGGTAGTTGTGGTGAAGGCAGTTGTGGTGGTGAGGGTGGTGGGGTGCAGGCAGGGGCTCACGTACCCTGGGACCTTGAAGTGATGATGTCCTTGGCTTGGGGTGGTGGGGGGGGGGGCACATTATTGACGTCAAGACCCATGTAAGCATGCAAAACCAACACACACACACACACACACACACACACACACACACACACACACACACACACACACACACACACACACACATGAGTGATGTGGTGGAGGCTGACTCCATACACAGCTTCAAGTGTAGATATGATAGAGCCCAGTAGGCTCAGGAACCTGTACACCAATTGATTGACGGTTGAGAGGCGGGACCAAAGAGCGAGAGCTCAACCCCCGCAAGTACAACTACATGTGTACAGGGCGAGGCTGGGTAGAGTAACGAGGTTATTGTTGTTGTTTAAGATTCGCTACTTGGAACAAAAAGTTCCAAGTAGCACGGGCTATGGTGAGCCCGTGCTCCAAGCAAGCTGTAATACTCAGAGCGCCTG